TTCTCTCTGGGCTAATAAGGGTCTAGAGTTGTCTCCAGTGATCGGTGAGGGGAGATGGGGTACCTTTGCAAATCTTTTGTCCTGCTCTTAGGCAAATTGTGTGCCTGTGTTGTGTTGGCCCCCCGAGCTGAGAGCTTTTCTTGTATCAGCTTCCTTTCAGTTGCTTTGAGCTCAAAGTAAACCTTATACCAATGTGACATGTTTGCAGGTGGCATTTTTTGCTACTCTCTCTGATAAGAAGGGGGATTACAGGGGTGTTTAGCATCAGTATTCATGTAGGGAATAAAGACTGAGTTTGGCTGACCACACTAACTGGGGTGTGAGGTCAGGCCACCCAACGCCACCAACATGCAGAGCTCACTCAGTGCATTTGCTACAGAGCATCTTAAAGATAAAGGCAAAATCCCTGCTCAAATGCTCTCCTTCCTTCCCCAGAGTTAATCATTGTTTTGAAGTCCAGTATAGCCTTCCCACATCTGTTGTAATACAATTTGTACAATTTATCTGTATGTATTTATTATTGCCATACCCGTTTTAAAACTCCTTATAGATATGATAGTGACTACATCTCAATACAACTTAGTTTTTTTGGAAACTCAACATACACTTTTTTGTATTTTAGCCATAGTGATATATGTACCTCCAGTTCATTCACTTTAACTCTTGAATATTGTCTGTCTAATGATATAAATAAAATAGTAATTATTATATGAGATAAATACAAATAATCCTCTGTTTTTCAGATGAGAAAACTGAAAACAGAGATAAGCAGTTTGTTCAAGTTATATAGTTAGTAAGGAAGATTCAAATGAGGATCACAAATTTTGCCTTGTTCCATTCCAATAGCTGTTTCTGTTTCCTCCCTTGGGTTAGGATTTATAATGTGACAGAGCAAGGGTGAGAGAGGGTATCCTTCTGTTGCTCCTGACTTTATTTCGAATGCTTTCTAAAAAATTTTAACTTGAATATATTTGCTATAGGTTTACAATAAATATCTTGGAAGGAAGGAAGTTGCCTTCTATTTATAGTTTGCCAAAAAACTCTTTTTTTCTTATTTATGAATAAGTATTATATTTATCAAATGCTTCCTCTCTCTGAAAAAAAAAAAATCAGGATTTTTTTTTTTTCCTTACATGTTGATTAGTAGATTGTTTTTGGTTTCAGAGCATTCCCATTATTCCAGAATAAACCCTACTTGGTCATTTTGTGTTCTTATGTTAATATGCTGTTTAATTGTATTTGCTGAAGTTACATTTAGGATTTTTTATGTAGGTTGTAAGGTGAAATTGGTCTACAATTTTTTTTTCAATTATTCTGTGATTATCCAGCTTTGGCTTAAAGTTTATAAACTCAATGAGATCAGTTGATTTTTCCCTCCTTTTCTATTTCGTGAAATAGTTTGGGTGTTAAAGAGACTGCTTCACCTGAAATATTTGATAGTTATACTATGAACCATCTGAGTCTAACACTTTTCTTTTGAGATTTGACTGATAATTCAATTTGGTACATTATCAATCAGTTTAAATTTTCTGTCTTGAGTGAAAATTATCATTTAATCCAAGTTTTCAAACTCATTGTTATTAAGTAGTTCATAATATTGACTTGTGACTTTTAAAGTCTCTACGATAACTGTAGTTTTGATCACCTTTTCAATTCCAAAAAAAACCCCAACAAATGACAACAACAACAAAAAACAACTACCACGAGAATTATAGAGATGATCTCAAAAGAATAAATCAATTCATGGTTATTTGATAAAACTAATAAAATAGACATTGCTCATCTAGATCAAGAAAAGAAATGAGAAAACAAAAATAATACCAGATGCTATTTAAGACCTGTGAAAGGATTTCAGTCTAAACTGGAACCGGAAGATACGATGTGGAGAATCCCACACAGGCTCCCTCCGAAGAATGGAACTTGAGAATGAAGAGACTGATTCCCTGTAAATGCCTGATTTACAGAGGACTGAGATTCATCTCCAGACCAGTGAACATCTGCCAAGAACCTTTCACCATCCTCCGGCCAGTGAACTCCCTGCTTGGACTCCGGCGGGCCTGCCTTCTCTGGGCGCTCCTTCCCATTAATACAGCTGCCCCAGCCCTCAACAGACTCACATGCAGCATGCATTTTTATTTATTTATTTATTTTGAGAGACAGAGATCACAAGTAGGCAGAGAGGCAGGCAAGAGGGAACAGGAGGGAAGCAGGCTCCCTGCTGAGCAGAGAGCCCGATGGCAGGGCTCGATCCCAGCACCCTGAGATCATGACCTGAGCCGAAGGCAGAGGCTTTTTGACTCACTGAGCCACCCAGGCGCCCCAGCATGCATTTTCTGAATTGCAACTCCTCTGCTCTTCCTGAATAAACTCAGTTTCTGATAATTCAAGCTTGCCTCAGTTTACCTCTTCATTTAGGTTAACAGGTTTTTTTTTTTTTTTTTCCCAGTTCTAAAATTATCTGGTTCTAAGATTGTGGATTATCAAGTTCCTACCAAATCACTTTGCCTGTCTGCCTCTTCTTTGTCATTGCATGTGGTCACTCTCTCCTTATCACAGCATAGCCAGGGATAGAGGCAAGTCTCTATGCCTTATTTCCCTGCCATGTCCATGAGCTGGGCTGGTTGGAGAAGAAAGAACAGCTAAGTTGATTCACTGTAACATGGCCATTGCTCACACAAGGTAGCGTTGTCATGCGTCCTGGAGGCGTGCCTGCAGTGTCACGGGACCTGTGCAGGGTAAGAGAGGTTTGAGATAAAAAGAAGATACACACCCCACCCTCAAAAACTGAAATATACTGGGAAGACAGACATTAAGTAACTACACAAATAATTACAAGAACGGAAGGTACTATGTACGAGAAGTACAGGCTGCCATAGCAAGGGACTACTGAAGCTGTGGGGGGTTGGAGATGAACGTGGTAACTGAGGAGCAGAAATAGGATAGGGAGGGCGAGAATCAGTATCTGGAGGAAGGAGCTTAGTGTGTTCCAGAACCAAATAAGCCAGGGGCACCTGGGTGGCTCAGTGGGTTAAGCCTCTGCCTTCGGCTCAGGTCATGATCCCGGGGTCCTGGGATCGAGCCCTGCATCGGGCTCTCTGCTCAGCAGGGAGCCTGCTTCCTTTCCTCTCTCTCTGCCTGCTTGTGATCTCTCTCTGTCAAATAAATAAATAACAATCTTTAAAAAAAAAAAAAAAAAAAGAACCAAATAAGCAAGACTGGTATGTTCTCTCTGGAGAACAACAGAGAGAGTTAGAGCTTTTCAAGAATTGGGGACTTTATCATAAAATAGTGGGAAGCCACTAGAAGTTTTTAACACCGCCTCTGGCTAAGCATCAGGAAGCCTACATTCCAATAGCCATAGGTCTGTAGTTATCTTATTTTCAAAACAGACTTTTATTTTCCCCTTCAAAGGAGTAGAAGGCACTAGGAGGTATCCCATACCTGACATATACCAATTAGTATAGTGAATGCTTCCTTTAGGTAAACCATTACTTTAAACTTGTTATATATAATTCGTTAACTTGAACTAGTTTGCAGTACAGCAGTCTGGGCTTTTCTCCTTGGTTTTTAAAACTCTAATTTACTGTAAAATGTATTTTTTAATGTCTCGGGGACCTCTAGTCTGGCTGACTGCCTTATTTTGTTTGTTATTACCGTATTGTTGTCAGTGGGTTGCTGACACTCCTGCTCAGGTGGGCACCTGCCATGTCTGTCATCAGAGCTCAATGGTACCTCAGCTTGGGTCAGCTAAAGAGGGCATTACATGCTAATTGTTGGCAATCCCAGTCTTTTATCCAAACTCCCTAAATTTCCGTATTCCTGAAGTGGCAGAAGATGTTGTCCAAGGGAAGAGCAACTGGTGCAATCACCATACTCCTATATTGTTACATTGACCCATGGGTGATTTACTACAGGATTTTGATTTTGCCAAAGGAGAGAAAACCAAGGATGTTTTTCAGGAGCCGCAGTATTTTGTCAAAAGCACCTAGATAGTAGCTTTATTAGGTTCATTTGAAATGTGTGTTCTGAACTGATGCATTTGTCTGACAACTTTATTGATACTTCAAGTTGAATAATCATTTTTTGTGTGAGTTTTTGGTTCTTCAGAGGTTTTGCCATTTAAAAAGTTATACTTTTTTTGATCAGTGATTCACCAAAGGGTTTATAGTGGTATCAGGCTTGGTGTAAACCAGTTTATAAATTTGCTTTTCTAACAGATTTATTTATACTTCAGCACATCTCCCCTGAGGACTTAATAGTTATATAAAGAACATTTTTTATTGTAGCAGTAACTTACAGACCAGCACCCATTTTATATGTGTGTGTGTGTGTGTGTGTGTAAGCCATGTAAACAAAGGCAATAACTTTTAAAAGTATCTAATTTTAACTGTCTATCCAAAATAATGATGAGCTTGAATAAACTGGGAAAAATAGGATAAAATGGGGGAAATGGCTACATTTGTGTTTATCCATCCTTGGAGCCATTATTTGAAAAATAACTCCCAAAGTGACTACTTATCATCCCAGTCCTTTATTTTAATAATTAGAAATACTAACAAATAATGACATTACTAATTGAAATATCAATTTTGACAAGCCTTTACTTATTTCTCTATTAAAATGACTTCCTGAAAATATCACAGGAAGTTAATGAATCGCTTGTTAATTAAATTTGAACTTTTCTCCTCTAGTATTCAAATGAAAAAACTGAAATATATATTCAAATTGCTTTATACTAAATTGAACATTAATGGTTATATAAATATAATATATGGTAATGTTACACATGAATGTGATAAGAATCTGTAACATTCATAATGGAATTTGCTAATTTTGAATTTGGCTTATCTTTTAAGTTTATTTTGTTCCTGAAAATTCAAGTGCTGAAATAATGTTTTACCAGCATTTTCTAATTAGCCAAGTATAACTTTCTATGAAAAATTTAAACATTCTTAGGCAACTAACAAATCAATCTATCTTTTCTTCTCTTGTTTTGTTAGCCTTTTAGCAAATACCCTGCTGTGATAAATGACATCTCATTCTGGTTGCCCTCTGAAAATTTTATAGAAAACGATTTCTATGACTTAGTACGGACAATTGGAGGAGACCTGGTGGAAAGAGTTGATCTGATAGACAAGTTTAAACATCCAAAGTAAGTAAAAAGCTTTCTGATTTTATCCCTTTCTTGTTTCTATGTGACAAATGGCGTATGGAAATATATAATAAAATTTTGCTGAAACTCAGTGCATATGAGACAGAATGTCTCCAGAATTTATCGTGAATATATAGTTTATTAGAAAAGACTTTTATGTCAGTCCTTTATGAAAATCTTTCTAAAATGCAATTTTAATCTTTCCTGCCTTAGTAAATATGTGAAACAGAATGTTTTAAAGATCTTGGAGTTTTTCAGTATTGTTTTTAGAAGTGATTTCTTACCATTATCACATCCCAGGAACAGAGGAGTTGTGTCAGAAACAGAGGTTTGTGGAGAAAAAGCTGTTCTGTCAGTCTCTCAGTGAATATTTATTAACCACTTGCCTCATGCCAAAAGCTGTATTAGGTTCTAGGATAAAGTTTAGTAACTTAATCAGGACCCATCTCAGCGTTGGCCTGTTTTCCCCTGGGACGTGTGTGTGTGTATGCGCGTGCGTGTGTGTGTGTGTGTGTGTGTGTGTGTGTGTGTGTATGTGCGCGCATGTGCCCTATAGTCTTACACTTATCAGATTTGATTCTACTTTGGTTTTAGAAAAGTTTTCTTGACTTGTATCATTAAGGATTTGTTCTGATCCATTGTTCTACTCTGTTTCATTCTTCCGGAATTCCAGTTCTGCATAAGAAGGCTCTCCTTTATGTGACTTCTCTACCTATTACTTTCTCTCTAATGTTTTAAAACTCATTTCCACTTCATTTTGAATGCTTTTCTCATTGCTGTCTTGTCTGTCCCTTACTGTTTTCTGCAGTCTCTTCTTCCTCGCTCACATCCCATCTCCATCTTCGATTACTTTGTTTTTCCCCCTTTTATGAGCTCGGCAAGCTCACATTTCAGTTTCTTCTGTTTTCCTCTATGAATTATCTCTGATTTGTAGTTTTACTTCATAGAGGAATTGCTTCATTTGGTTTTTAAAATTTATTGCAAGGTATTTGCCCAGCAATTTCTTACGATCCAGTGGCAATATTTTTTTCTATGACTTCTTTGTTAATAAGTTTTTCTTTCATCTTCCTTATTTTTTCCCCAGTTTTCAAATTGATGTACCTGTGGTATGCATATGATTTGCCTTTTTGTTACTTATATTTGAATGACATTGGATTTTCTGAACCAGTTATGGGCACAAAGTTGAGGTATGAGTGTGGGTGTTGACATGGCAGGGAGGGGCTAGGGTGATCGTTCACGTTAACCGTCCTCACCACTCTACGGCTTTTATCCTCTCCAGTGCCAAGAAATAACCCTTTCTTTGAATACGGCTCATTCATCTCATTGATTCCTTGTATAGTTCTGCCTCCCACCCCAAATCCTCTCTTCTTACAAACAGAAGATTCGCCTTTGTTTACTTCAGTTTCAGCACTTATTGATGATAAAGACTTTGAACTTCAGATTATAACCCTCACGTCTGAGAAATGTGTCTTTGCTGATATTTTCTGAGAAATGCCACTGCGTGTGTTTCCTTCCTTCACATCTCATTAGCTTCTACTTGCTTTCAGCTGCTTTTGGCAGACTTTAAATATATTTTAGAGTTTGCAGATGATGTCTCTTCCCTAACTTTACAGAAAACAGTATATATGGAGCAGCTTGGGTTTTTGACACGATGGAAGACCCATTCAGTCTGGGTCTTTTCTGTGAGAGAAATTTCTAGGAATTTGCATGTTGATAGTGAAATTCCAGCTACTTACTATTGAAGAAGAGGGAAAATGTAGGACCATGACTGATTATTCAATAGTAACTGAGATACCAAAAGGCCATGATTTGTTATCTTTTCCCCATTGTTGTTTAATATGTAAAAAAACCATAAGAATTAAGGATTCAGAATCCATTCCTAATTTTGTACTTCTCAAGCTTTTGCCACCTGCCATTGCCTGAGCCCTGCCTCTACTCTCATATCATCAGTGTCAAAAGTTAGAGGAGTAGCCCTTTCTGGTTGGAGATGATCAGATCTTAAAGGTTGGAGATAGATGTAATGGCCTGGATGTGGGAGTAAGTGTGGTTTGGGGGCGGGGTAAATATTGGGATTTTCTGACTGGGAGGTGATTTGCGTTGGTGAGAATAAATGCTGAATGGGCATGCTAATTGGAGAAATTGCTGTGAGAGTGAGGTAGCATCGGAATCCTTTGACCATGGACGCACCAGGCAGGCAGATATTCCATTAAAAAAAAAATCACTGGACTGTATAGGAGTGTTCTGCTGATGCAGGTCTATACACACAACTGTATTCTAGTTTATGAAAGGAGAATCTGTCCAGTTGCTTCCAGAGGACACAGTACCACAGTACTCTCGATTGGAAACTTGAAAACAACCAACCAACTAAAAAAATACTTTTTATTGGCACTGACCTTACCATCTTTTAAGTGAATGTTAAACAAATATTTAAGGCCAACTATTCTGAAGCTATGCCAAATGATTAGCCTGCCCAGGGTGCACACCTATCTCAATAAGGGTCTTGGTGGTTGGAGTAAGGCTTCTGAGGCAGAGGTTGCTAATTATCTCTCAATATCCAATCCCCCATTTAAAAAATAATGTAGAATTGATTTTTTTGTCTAAGCAGCTTGCCAGCTAACTAAAAGTCTACACTTCTAAGCCTCCACTATTGAGGCTGTCCTTTTCTTTCCTGCCATTTGGATGTGAATGTAATGGCTGGTACTTCAGCACCCATTTTGGACCATGGTATGACCTTGGCAATGGAAGTTGTGTCGAGTACAACCTGGGTCTCTGGCACTGGAGTGTCAGTTCAGCCCTGGACTTTTATATGAGAGACAAGTATCTTGTTGAAGCCACTGGTTTTTAGATCTTTGTTACTGACAACCAAAGGTAAACTTTGCTATTACAGCCCTGAGGGAAAGGACAGACTTGCAGAAAGGGACACATTATTTAGTAATAGTGGCTCACTGACTAAAGATCCTCAGGAAATATCTAGGGTGGGAGGGTGGCAAACTGTTTCTGTTGAGGGCCAGTTAGTAGATAGTTTTGACTTTGAGGGCCATAGGGTCTCTGCAACACCTGTGCCCTACTCTGCTATTGTAAAAGCCATGGACGAAATGAACCAAACAAACATGGCTCTGTTCCAGCAAAGCTTTAATTACAAAAACAGATGATGGGCTAGGTTTGGCCCATAGTTTCTGACCCCTGATATACAGGAGGGAGCCACATACAATTCTTTAACTGACCCCTGCTCATATATTCTAAAATTCTCCTCTTGGAGGTCTTTTTCCCTCGGGCACCCTGCACCCTCCTGTTCTCCTCCCAGTAAGAGTTCCTGACTTGGGTGGTGGCAAGTGGAGGGTCACCTGATCTTGTACTCATCAGTGCCTATCTGGAGCTTAGGACTTACTTTATTTTCAACGCATAAATTAAATATTGCTAGGCAGTCCAAAGAGCTCTGACCCTTTCTTTGCCTAACATCAAGAACTGAGAAATGCTAGTAGTGCATGAAAGACTCTTTGAAATAAACAAGTAGTTGAACAAGTTATGTCTTTTTTTCTTTTTTAATAAATTAGGTGTCATGTCTTGCGAACAAGAGCAGATCCCAAGATGCTTCAGGGAGACAAAACTGCTGAATAGGAACCTAATTTCATAATGTTAGACAAATGGGCACATTTTTCTGGGTTACAGATAGTAGTCTGTCCTGAATGGTCACAGGTAACAGCTATTCAGGTTAGAAGAAGATGACTTTTTGTTCTAGTCCTTGCGGCTCAGATAGGACAGATTTAGGTTGAGCTCAAGGTAGAGGCTTTCGGAAGTTAGAATTGGGGGATTTAAAAGACTTACTTGACTGGACTACAAGAAATGGGTGGTGGGGAGAATGCCCCAGGTGTCTATAGCAGGTTCTCCCTGACCATGTCCCCAGATCAGTGCTTCTCATAGACCTCCACCATGTTTCTGGGGCTGCTGCTCACTCCGTGCATTCTGCTCAGTCATGGACATGCTTTCCTGAATCCGTGAACCCACAGCCAGGGTCTAGTTGGGGCTGAGATGCTAGAGGTAAGCATCCTGAGGCATGGGCACCGAAGGCGAGTCCCAGCTCTGTTGAGGCCTCCTTGATCCAGTTAATGGTTCTGTTCTTCCTGACTGACCACTTGTGGTTGGAACAAATTTAGCACAGGTTGGTACCAGAGCGCTTGTCTCCAGTTTTTCATGGTGTGCCGAAGAGGGACTCCACCAAGAGAGGCACTTTCTCCGTGTGGCTGCCCCCCTTCTCAGTGGATATGAATCACGGGTATTACCTGCTCCTAATTGGCTACAGCATGGGGGCAGGCGTCCCTGTGGATAAGGCAGTTGGGGTGACTTCTTCCTTCTTCCCTTCCTCTTGTTTTTCCCTCCTTAATCTTAATTCTCTTCTCTTTTCTTTCTTTCTTTCTTTGGTGTGTTTGATTTTGCTTTGTCAAATTGCATCCAATAAAAACAAAAAAGTTTAAAAATGAAAAGGTGAGATTCACCCATCATGTCAACACCCTAACACCACATTTCTTCATGTCGTTACATTTCCCAGTCTTGACTTTTTTCATGCGTATGCATCAGATGACATTTGATCCCGGAATGATGTATGCTATGTATTATCAGCCTTCTGGTCTAGAATGGGGTTCTTCAGCCTCTCCACTGCTGATATTTGGGGCCAGATAATTCTTTGTTGGGGGGACTGTTCTGTGCACCCCAAGATGTCAGCAGTACCCAGCACCTTATGATGACCAAAAATGCCTCCAGACATTGCCAGATATCCCCTGTCAGGCAAAACTGCCCTCAGTTGAGAACCACTGGGATATTATTTAGTGGAGAATTTCTTATGTCTTCTAAAAAATATTATTTCTTAAAACCATGCTTTACTTTTGTGTTCTGACCAGCAGGGAGAAGGGACAGAAGGACCTTACAAGAGGGAGGTGTTCCAGCAGGGGTTCTTATGGTTCCAAGAAACACACATGACAAAACATCAGAAAAGCTGGGCACCC